GTTTGTTTGTTTGTTTGTTTGTTTGTTTGTTTGTTTGTTTGTTTGTTTGTTTGTTTGTTTGTTTGTTTGTTTTGTTCTTTTAGTTTCGGACACACAGCAGAAACAGAAACCAGCTTGGTCACGTGATCCGCCGCCATGGCAACAGTTAAAGTATCGCTCGGTCCGGTTGAAGGAGCAGCTGATCTGTTTCTGCTCAAATATCGCTGCACTTATTTAAAACTATACATTTGTGACCTGACACCGGGTGGGACAGCCTCCAGCGAGGAGCGAGGACCCTTTGAGCTGTGTTTTACCTCAAATGTCGCAGTAATTTCTAAATCAAAGCGAGCGCGAGCCGAAACACCACCATGAGTCGCCGCAACACCGGCGGGTAAGAAACAGTTTTATATTGATTTYAATGTTTGTAAAGCTTGACTTGAGCTTTAAATTTACCTGTTAACCTTTCTCCATTTTTGTTCCTTAATCAGACATTGAACACATTAACTTTTAACAACAGTATGTTGAAGAAATAAAATCAGAAACCCTACTATTATGATTTTTATGTGGCTATATTTATATATATTTTTGGAAACCTTTCGTGTTAACCTAAAAGTAAAACGGTTGAATTTTATTTTGTATGGGTAACTATCAGGTTGTGAAAATAAAACGTTTGTATGTATTAAAAAATACAATATAAGCAACTAAAATTTGAATAGATGTAATTACAATAATAATATATTGTTTGAATGTTGCTAAATGAATAATATTTAGTCAAAAATATGAAAATTAATGACTGAAGGCTTTGTTGTAAAATAACGAGACTGACTGATTTTATTTTCACACAAAAGTCAATAGGCTGCTATTTAAGAAAAGGAAATGTGAGAAGTTACATTCAGATCCAATGAAATAAAACTCTTGTGCAGTTTAAAACTACTCAGATCAAACTTTGTGATATATCCATTTCTTCCATTTTACTCTAATGGAAAATGCACAAACTCAAGTTAAACACTTGAGAATTTGAGGCCAGTAAAACTAAAACCTAGTGTGTGACATTAAACACAATTTACACAGAACAAGTTCTGACAAGCAGCAACGACACAGAAACAAAAGATTTGTGATGCATAGCCTCTTTTTGATTTTACCACTTGGAAACCTTAGGATGCCTTTAAGCATTATAAATCATCTACAACGAAGAGAAGTTAAACCTGTGGTCCAGACTAACCCGTAAAGGCAAACAAGCCCGGTACACAAAAAGGCCGTCTGGGTCAAGTATGCCTTCCCCTCTAATTCATGTCTGTAATCAGACACCTGTAACACACTCTGTAGTTGCCGGATCCTGTTGTGTTGTACACAAATGCTGCTGGAAATCAAATCTGCGTTGGAAAAAAAAAGGGGGAGATTGCCTTTAAACATGCAGGTTGTGTGGAAGAGCTGATTTCCTGTTAATGAGGACAAGAAGACAACTGCCAAGAAACAAAGCCGGTGCTCTGCTCCACTAAAGCATTTGATTAGCCATTATTAACAGGAGGAAGTTTAAAGTCTTGATGTTCTGTACAAAGCCAGACTGTGCTCAGAGTTTCTTTTTGTGTTTTTGCTTTGTTTGCACAGACTTTTGTCCACCTACAACAGCCTCACGGACAAACATCTTGCCAATTATTTTAGCAACACTCGAATCAGGAGGCACCTGCAGAGAGCAGGACTGGTATGTCAGCAGGATGACTCTTTTTCTTTTTTTCTCTGACTACTTACACATATTGACTTTAATATGTTATTATTTATCTATTCTAGAAGTTGCTGTTTGTAGCACATGAAAACTCCTAATTACTTAAATAACTTGATTTGATTTGATTTATTGATTTAACAGGAAAAGATTACTAAAAATCAAGCCTGGGTGAGGAAAAATACATGTACACAGTTTTTTTAACATTAACTGACAAAAGATTATCTTGAAGCCAACCATGAAATGTCTGAAGATCTGCTTGTAACTGACTGTTAATAGATTCAATATTGAAATCAGATAAAAAAAAAAAAAAGAACTATCATCAGCATACATTAAAATATTTGAATACTTCAATATTTTTGGAAGGTCATTTATGTATAATAGGAAAAG